TTCCAATCGCAGGGCCAGGTCAAGCTTCTCAGCACACTGCAGCTTGTCGGATTGACATTTTTCTGTGTCACAGGGGTAAGTTCAAGGTTAAAACAGAGCAACCGCGAGCAGTAAATATAATGCTTTTGCTTACTTCTCTCCTAGGAATACATTCCATTGCATTTGCAGGGACCCTTTGGATTTGAGGAAACCGTTCAGACCGGTGGAGCGGTATTGATGCTGCTCGGGCTTTTTCTATACCCATTTCTATGGTCGGCACCTCTTGCGTTAATGACTGCGGAACTCTCGTGCATGATTCCAGAGAGTGGTGGTCATGTTTTGTGGGTCTATCGGGCTTTGGGACCTTTCTGGTCTTTTGTCAATAGCTATTTTGCATTTGCTTGCAGTGTTCTTGATAACGCGCTTTATCCAGTTCTATTTGTTGAATACTTGTCAGCATTGCTTTACGACGAAGATACCCATCACATTTCGTTTGGGTGGAGTGTACTCCTCAAGGTCATGGTTCTTGTGCTCGCATCTGCACTTAACATCCTTGGTATTGGTCTTGTTGGTAAGTTACACAATTAAACTTGTTCTCTTATTTTATATTTCAATTGTTCAGGCAAAGCCGCCATTGTGTTAGGATGTCTAGTTCTTGCACCATTCTTTTCCATGATCATCCTTGGTCTACCATATTTAAATTTTGATTGGGCCAGGGGACCTCTACCGAAGAAAATAGACTGGGGAAAATTTTTCACTGTGCTACTGTGGAATACTTCAGGGTCTGCATGTCTGCTTTTGAGTTGCCATTGTCTGATAATGGCTCTTTGTTGCAGTTTTGATGCAGCAGGAACGTGTGCAGCAGAAGTAAAAAACCCTTCACATTCTTATCCCCGTGCTTTGGCAGCGTCTGTAATGCTTATATCAGCAGTTTTTTCTATGCCGACAGTAATTGGAGTTAGTGTCATTCCAAACTTTACCGACTGGAAGAATGGAACATATATGCGTGCTGCAAAGTTTATCGGTGGAAAAGGGCTCAAGGTTGTTTACTCTAGAATTCTTTTCGTTTATTATGACGAAATTGCAGGTGTGGATGGGATTGTCGGAGGTGTTTAGTGCTCTGGGACTCCTGCTCGTGCGCCTTTGCACAAACTCACGTATCATTTATGGGATGTCACAAGTGGAACAGGTGAAATTACCTAAAATATTTTTGCACCTAGTGATACCCTTGTAGGTGCCATCTATGTTCTCAAAACTACATCCAACCTATCGTACTCCCTATAAAGCCATTTTGCTCACTTCTGGGTGTACTCTACTGCTGATTGGATTTAGCGCAATCTCTTTAGCAGAGGTCCATATGCCCAATTTTTTTTTTTCCAAAAAATACATCCTATTTTTGCAGGCTGATATGCTGTTTTATGCACTATCTACAATAATTAAGTTCTGTTCGCTAGTGCAATTGCGTTACACTGAACCAGATGCATTTCGCCCTTTTAGAATTCCGCTTGATGATCAAGCACTTTTTGGTACGAAATATATATATTTATTTATCTACTAACTGCAGGTATTTTTCAGCTTTTGCAGCAATCCCAATTTTTATTTGCACCACAATGATCTACCTTGCTTCAGATCATGCTCAAGTCATTGGTCTTCTGGGTAAGAACATGCAAAAGCAGGTCAGCATCTAACATGCCAAGAGCTTTCAGGATCAGTCATTGGAATTTTTGGCTATATTGCCAAGGAGCTTCTGATGCAGTTTGGCACTGAAGCAGAAGAGGTAGTTCAACAAAGGATGGCCAAAGTGCAGCAAAACATTGAAAAGATGCAATCAAGAATTGACAATGTTGTGGCAATGGAATTCAAGGCACCGTTGAATCAGCTTGGCTCAGCGTTCAGAGCAGGAGCTCCTCATGGAAGAGCTGGCGGAGGTGAAGATCTCAACCAAGCTGCTCCTGGTATCTCTATTCAAGATACTCCGAGTAGGTCTTTAAAAAAAAATTTGAGCTGAATCCAGAGACAGTGTGGATGGATTAAGGTTTTTATGTTGTTGCTTGAACTGGCTCTTGTGCAGCAAACAGATGAGGGCAACATTTTAATAACCAGAGCAGGTTCAAAGAATTAATTCAGGCAATTGAGGGAAGGGGTTAGAAGGCAGAAAACAATTTCCAGAGCTTAATTTGGGCTTTTAAGGTGTTCCTGTGTCCATTCCTTTCTTATGGTGATGCTCTTGCAAAACCTTTGCTGCAAGCAGGAGCGACAATCCCAACTGGGGACTCTTCAATGCATTCTGAGCTGATGTTCAGTTGCACCCACACATCTCCCATGTGGAATTCATGGACTTGGTGTTGAGAATCCGCACTGCAACTTGAAATGGGGAAAGCCTAGAGGTTTCACAATTGCTAACGTCCTCTCAGCATAGATGGGCAGATTTTTTTTGCAGTGTATCTATGTGTCTCAGAGCATAAGCTTTTGAATGATCTTCAAAAGGCTCTGCTTTCCAGATATATCAATAGTATAAGCTTTGTTATTCCATTGATGGTATTAGAGTTAAGATTAAGCTCATCAACTCGGAATTTCTTTGCTTAAAGGTAAGTTTTTCAATGCGATTCTATTTTTATTTCTTTTAGCTAGGTCTCTCCACCGATCTTTGTTTTTCAGGAGTGGTCGCCACCATGGATGTGGAGGAAGCTTGCAAGGGTGTTAACATTGCACTGCTGGTTGGAGGATTTCCTGGGTGGGGATGGAGCGAAAGGATATCATGTCCAAGAACGTCTCCATCTACAAGTCTCAAGCTTCTGCTCTTGAAAAGTGTGCTGCCAAGGATGTGAAGTTAACATATAAATACAAAACGTATCAGCATTTGGAATTGGAAGCTCGTGGCATGACAGGTTCTGGTGGTTGCCAACCCTGCCCATACTAATGTGTTGATCCTCAAGGATTTTTCCCCTTCCATTCCTGACAAGAACATCACTTGCTTGACAAGGCTGGACCACAACTGGGTGCTGAGGCAGATCTCTGAAAGGACTGGTTTCCAGGTCTTAGACGTGAAGAGCGTGATTATCTGGGGAAATCACTCATCAACACAGTACCTGGATGTTAGTCATGCTGTGGTGGTTACTGCCAAGGGAGAGAAGCCTGTTTGTGAAGTTGTGACAGTTTGGTGACCTTCCTATGGAAATCCACGTTCACAACTAAGTTCTTAAGCACAATTCTCAGGAATGGAGCTACCTCGGCTTCACAGACATTGCTCAATGAAAAAAGCAGCACTACCAAAAAGCTTTATAAACTAAATGACAAGGAATCGAACGAGCATGACAAGGAAATGAAAAGTACACATACCTCAAGTGGTCATCAGGGAAAGAGCAATAAGAGCAGTAGGAGACTGGACTGGTGCTGTGTAGCATTTAAAAGGCTGCAAAACAGAGTGAGGCACCAGACACCAAGAAAAAGGAAACAAAACAAAAGAATCATCAAATACAAGCAAGGTATGCTAGAAACTTGCTTAGAACTCTCATCCAGCATGAACAACAAAGTTCCTTACCTAGTTACTACTACCGGTTGCTACTGAGACTTATAGCTTTGATTCTAATTTGTGCCTTCTTTTCCTCACAGCCAACTTGAGCAACAAAATCACAAACATTATGCAGTGATGGAAACAGCAACAGGTTAGTGACCCTTATGCAGAAATCCACATTCGCAGCTAAGTTCTTAAGTGTTGTGTCATAACTCTCAGGAATGGAGCTCTACCTCGGCTGCATTCAAAAATAAAGAATGATTGAAATCAGCATACATAAGGAAGGTAAGCAAATTGTAAGTTCAGTGCAGATGATGTTACATATTGATAAATCTTGGAGATGGTGTCCTCTTTTTTGTTGCACCAGTGCTGCACACACCTTTGATGAGCATACTGCCAAACACAAAAGAGAGAGAGAAAAAGAGAGAGGAAGAGCCAGAAACTTGCTTAGAACTCTCAGACAACACAAAGAACAAAGTTCCCTACCTTCAACCTGCCACAACAAGAGCACAGGATTTTGGGATTCCCAGCCTCATCCTTTGCATGCCAGATTCTACTTTTGCCCTGCTGTGCTGGGATTTTAGCGATGGTGGCTTTGCAGAGTGATCCTTGTAATGGTGGTGATGCTGCTGAACATGAAAAAACTGGTTTTGGGTCAGCAGCAATGAGCTGGTTCCATTCTTTTGGAAATGGGATTCGCCCAAACTAGCACTGAGTCTCTCGATGTCTAGAGTGTACAAGCCATGTGTGGAGAGCGAAGAACACAACCATCACATCTTTGATTGCATGGCATCTAGGAGCATTGCACCATGTATACTCATATCTATATCTGTATATATATCTTTCTATGTATGATAAGTTTTAGATATATGGTGGAGACATTGGTTGATCCCTAAACCAATGTCCTAGGAACTTATGGCTATTGTACCTAAGTATACCAATACATTTAGGACAAATCCTCAAGTTAGATGACTTTGTAGTCATTCTCCTGGAGTTAGTGTTATGATCTGGCATGAAAAGACAAAGATTTAGTCTTTCTAAAGTATGCTACTCCTCCTCTTGATATTCCTCAACACTTGAGTTACCTCAAAAGCTCCACTACACTGCCGCTCCATTGTGAGCCCTAGGGTAGGTTAAGTTCCTTACCCTAACATGCCTTAATGTACCCTTGAGCTTCCCTTTAACCAGTGTTGACCAGGTGGTCAAAGCTGGTGCTTAACAATTCTTCCCCCCAACAAAGTCCTTGTCCCAAGGACAAGTTGTATTGGTGATCACCCTTTCTGGGGAACTTTACTCAAGCTCCTAATCCATCTCCCACAGCTGTATACATCAAAGAGGCATTGGGCTTGTCACTTCGAGATAGTACACCTTTCAACTAGCTGATATAAAATACTCAATGAATTTTCACCCCAACTAGTAGCCACACTCGATAAGCTGCCTTACCAATGTGCTCCAGCACTTTATATGAACCAGCATAACAATGAGAAAGTTTATCACTTTTCCCACTCTACAAAGGCACCAAGGTGTTCTGCTGCTCACTTGATAGAAAAATCACTCGTACAAAGACAAGATCACCCACTTTATAATCCCGGTGATACTCATTAACAAACTTCTCTGCTCTATCTTGAGTTGCATACAAATTCCATTTGCACACCACTAGAATCTCATTAAGTTCTGTAGCTAGATCAATCGCCTCTAAATCAAGCTTGTCTTGAACATCCTTACTCAAATGCAATCCCAATTCCACTGTTGTTCGGGGATGCCTTCCAAACATGGCAAAGTAAGGACTTAGCTTAGTTCCAATGTGTTAGCTATTGTTATAAGCAAATTGCACCAACAGAAAATATAAATCTCACTATCCCTACCTTTGACCAATGCTACAGCATAGTCCACCTGATTCACACGCTCAATTTGCCCATTCATCTAAGGATGATTTCCACTCAAGAGTTTCAAAGTCACTTGCATAGCCTTTGCAAAGCTCTTCTAAAATCCACTTGTGAATTTTAAATTTCAATCACTAATGATGTCTTCTGACAAACCAAAATAAGGAAAAACTTTCTCCAAGTAGATCGCAGTTAAGTCTGAGGCAATGATAGTCTTCCAAAGAGCTAACAACCACACATACTTTGTCAACTGATCCACTATGACACATACTTGCTCTTTTTGCCTCTGTGTGTGTGGCAAACAAGTGATGAAGTCCATAGAAATATTACACCAATGACTCTAAGGAATAGGTAAAGGTTGCAAAAGTGCCCTTAACTTCTCCCGTGGCACCTTAACCCACTGACAGAGCTTGCATGATTTACAATACTCAAGGATATCAGCCTTCATATTCCTTTAATAAAAATTGTGCTTAATTAACTCATACATCTTCTTCCCCCCAAAATGATTGGCCTTTGGATGATCATTATAGTGAAATAAAACTTGAGTAATTTATGCATCCACCTGTGGCAAATATACACAACCATTGTAGTAAAGAATCCTATCCTTCAATGAAAAAGGTGCTTTCATCTAGGCTCACAAAGAGACCATCTTAACATTCTAAGCCTGAGCATGCTCAACCAATTACCTAAACTCATTGACCACCTTACTCAAATGATGACAAAACTATGTTTGTAATGTCGTCATATAACAAACATGAGATAAAACATCTGCCACCACATTTGATTTTCCTAAACGATGCTTAACAAGAAACTCCCCAAACTCCATGAGTTTGACCATCAAATGAGCTTGCCTAGTATTCAACTCCTTATGTGTGAAAAGATACATAAGAGGTTTGTGATTTGTCAGCACTATGAACTTTGCACCATAAAGATAGTGCCGTCACATCTACAAAGCATGAACAATAGAGAGTAACTCTTGCTTATATATGGAATAGCATTGCTTTACAAGATTCAAAGTTTGACTCTCATATACAATAGGCTGTCCCTCTTGCATAAGAACTCCTCCCAGTGCATAACCACTCACATGTAAGCTCCTGAATTTGGACTTTCCGAAATGTCATCTAACATAGTACTATTCAAACCCAATAACGTTTAACCCCAAATATCCCAAAACCGTTAATCAATTGGAAAAGGGGGTGCACTCTTATTCATGGGCCCTTCTCCTTTATATTTAAACTTCTATGGATCATCTCTCAAGTTGTTCCCTTTAGTTACTTACAATCCATCATGCTTTTCTGCAAGTTCACGCCCTCGTAAATGGAAGTTGAGAGCCATAGCTCTCTTGAGAGCCCCACTCTCTTAACACCCTACCCCTCGGGTCAAACCAGCTAGAGCAAATTAAACTTGCCAGATGTCAATCAACATGTGGTGCGATTCCCTTAACCAATTAATAGAGTCAGACTTGAGACCTCTCTGATATCAAATATAAACTCTTGAATTTAAACTTCCCAGGAGGTCACCCAACCTAGTACTATTTAAATCCAATGACACTTAACTTTAAATATCCCAAGACCCTTAACCAATTGGAAAAAGGGGTGCATTTTTGTTTATGGGCCCTTTCCCCTTATAGATCATTTCTCAAGTTGTCCCTTTCGTTGTTTATATTGTATCACATGTCACCTCATATGATTTTGAGGGATTAACAATGCGAAGCACTGAAGTCTCACTCAACAACCATTTCAATGCCATAAAACTCTCTTCATGTGGCTTTTTCCACTCAAATGGCACATTCTTCTGCAACAACTGTGTCAAAGGAATAGCAAACTTATGTTGGAAACATCGGTAGTAACTAACCATACCAAGGAAGGTGAGTAACTTAACCAGTGAAGTTGGTGTAGGCTAGTTTTCCACCACAACCACTTTCCTTGGATCCGTCTTGACACGTTTAGATGTCATAATATAACCTAGATATTCCACCTCTGACTTTGCAAACTCACATTTGCTCTTCTTCACATAAAATTTGCTATCATATAGTAACAAAAGAACATTGTAGTAACAAAGTTGTCATTGCTCCCACTATCCAGTAAAATTTGCACTAGACTGCCATAGAACACGCCCTCCAATATTAAAGCTGATTCACAAGTGTCCTTGAGATCCATCTTGTTTCACATACAATTGAGTTGACGAGCAATGATCGAAAGCCTCTTCCTCTGACTGGAATGGTCATCCTCGTCATCTTCACATTGCAAAGTCTGCAAGTTCTTAGTATCTGACTTACCATTAGTAGAAGATTGGCCATTCTTTTTGCCCTGTATGAGACACAAATCCCTAAGCCCCAAAGTGGAGCTGAAAGGGTGCCACGTAGTAGTGGCCAAAGCAAAAGCCAAACGAGCGTAACACGTTTGGATTAAAAGGCTCCGACTTGAAAGGTTGAGAGCGGGAGTGGAACTCCCAACAGAGTGCTCAAAGAATGAGCATGAAGCGAGCAATAAGTGAGGCTCCAAAAAGAGACCCAAAAGGACCAACACGTGATACGAGGTGGACTCTGAGATGGAGTCCAAGATGGACCCGAGTTGGAGTCCGAGGTGGAGTCCGAGATGGAGTCCGAGATGAACCTGAGTTGGAGTCCGAGATGGACCCGAGTTCGAGTCTGAGGTGGAGTCCGAGATGGACCGAGATGGAGTCCGAGATGGAGTCCGAGAAGGACCCGAGATGGAGTTCGAGGTCGAGACCGAGACCAGGACCGAGACTGAGACCAAGACTGAGACTAAGACCGAGATCGGGACCGAGACCGAGGCCGAGACCGAGGCCGAGGCCGAGTCCGAGTCCGAGTCCGAGTCCGAGTCCGAGTTCGAGTCTGAGAGGGTGAAAGCCCAAAACGTTCATCTCCCAGACCCTGGGGGGTTTGGTGAACTCCAAAAGTATAGTAAGGGGGAGGATTGCAGTGGAGCCAGTTTGGCCAGGAAAGGCCAGTTTGGCCCAGGAAGGCCAGACCCAGTGTTGGGTGATGAACTGACCACTGGGAAGTCCAAGACTAAAGTGAATATGGACCAACAAGAGGGGTAGCTTGGTGAAGTGTTCAAGAGCCGGCTCTAGTTCCCCCAGGAGATCGACTGGCCGATGCTCCCTTTCTAAGTGTGGGTGGCACTACCTACTTGGATACCTGGTATGGCTCAACGGAACCTCGCTCTAAGCCCATGGCTACAACACCCAAAGGCAGAAGGCGAGGAGAGTACCCACGAGGCCCGCGTAGGGCCACGGTGTTCCAAAATGTTGCCCCAAAGTCCCAGACTGTGGAAAGGAAGAGGAGTAGCCCTCTAGTGTGGTGACAAGGGACATAGTCACATAGTGAGGAAGTCCTAGAGGACAGTTGGACTTAGTGGTTGGGCCTATTGGCCTTGATCCAGTGGCAATGTTGGTGAACACGGCCATAGATAGGAAGGGACTTGATGGGGACCGGAAAGGAGACATTGGGGAAAGTTATTCCCCATGTCTGCAGGCATCTTGAGGATATTATGGAGTGGATTTGGGATAGCCACTCATGGATGGATGGCCTAGTCTTTAAGAGACGGAATTGTAACACAGGTGGTGTTGGACCACCGATGTGACCAAGGTGAATGGGCATGGCCTTGCGTAATGGGTTGGTATGTCAGTGGAGCACTTGGACCAAGTGCAAAAGTTGAGTGGCGTGGATGCCATTCACGGGGCTAGCAAGCCCCAAGTTCTGAATGAGACTTATGGAGGTTGTGAATGAGACTCCTCCAAGTGGTCGGAGGTGCGGTTAAGTGACTAAAGTATAATGGAAAAATTAGTCACTTACAACTTGGTATTGGAGCTGTTCCTTAGTCTGACTCTTATTGGTGGCCAAGCATATCACCACTTGTATTGGAGTTGGAAGGTCCTAGATATGGACCTATCTTCGAGGAGTAGCATGTCGAGAGGACATGGCTCTACACTCAAGTTCATGGGTGAACTTGGGCGCGATGTGGTGGATAGAAAATGGCCAGTAAGGGAACGACTTTGGGATCTTGGGAACAGTATAAGGGTTTCCTTAGAGAGTTGAGGATGTGATCCAAATGAGCGTTTGACTTAGCAAACTGGCTGATGTAGTTGTGGTAAACAACTACAGTTGGGATCACGGGAGAGATGTGGACTCCAAAACAATAAAGGAGTCACAAGATTACCCTTATATAATTGAGGCTGGTACTCATAAATTTGAGACCGGAATTGGTGACTGTGGGAGGTCAAACACAAAAGAGGACACTGGTCCTTGAAATGGTAGTCGGGCCTACCTCTAATAAATGCTGGAACAACCCAAGGAGTTGGGGGTGTATTTAAAGATGAGTTGCTATTCTCATCACATGGACAAGTGGTCATAAGGGGCAAAGGTTAACCCCAAGAAAATCATCAAGTGTTGGAGTAACACTTGCAAAGATTGTCCTTGTGGGTAGGACATGAATACAAGAAGTTGTATTCCAGCGAGTTGGCACCTCGAAGACTAAGACCTTGCAGGTTGTTGGATTAGCAAAGTCTAAAATGCTGGATAACTTAAGTGGAGTCAGGGAATGGTCCTAAGGAATTGGTTGAAGCATTTGGACTCAGGTGTATGGTGCCCCATGAAGTATGGGGAGGATCATAAGATCTAAGTATGAGAACAGTAGGTATCTCATTGATGGTAGAATGTGCCATACTAAAGTTGTGGGAAAGATGTTCCCAGAAGAAAACAACTTTGGCACAGAGTTGGGTGCAAACACTATGGTGCTGTGCTAATGGATAGTTAGCATGAGGAATAACTATATTGGTCTTGGCAAAGACCTAGACACTAATAAGTAATGTCATAAGGATAGGTTCGCAGGGCCAATGGTGTGGAGACGACACCAAATGTGCCAAGGTGTAATACCTTGAGGTTATGTTGGTGGGTTCATAAGAACCCCTTGCCAAGGGAATCCTAATGGAAATGGGAATGGCATAGCTTAAGCTGGAAGGCATGTGGTAGAGTGTGGTGACCAAAACAATGATGGAGGTGTGAAAGCACCAGCA